TTTCGTGGTTTGTCTAACTAACTCCGGACCAATCAATAGACTATACTCTGACTCTACCTAATATATGGGTGATCTGCAAGGTCTCCCGTACAAAGCTTCATACGGTGCTATCCCGATGGTAGCTTGATAACTGTTATTATATACAAATTTAATCAGTAGGATGTGATCCTCCCAGCTACCCTGAAAATGCATAATGCACGCTCTTACCATGTCCTCTAAGATCTGATTCATCCTCTTGGTCTGACCATCTGTCTGGGGGTGAAAAACACTAATAAATGACAACTGACCACCAAAAGCATCATGAAAACTCCTCCAAAAATGAGATGTGAAGACTGAGCCCCAATCTGATACAATCATCTCTGAGACTCCATGCAATCTAACAATCTCCCGAATGAAGATCCTTGCATACATATCTGCCATATAAGTCATCCTCATTGGTAATAAATATGCAGAATTAGTCAACCTGTCCACTATAACCTAAATAGATTCATTTCCTTTTTTTGACTTAGGCAACTCCACTATGAAATCCATGGAAATATCTGCCCACTTCTACTCGGGAATGGGTAAAGTCTGTAGGGTTCTTGTAGGTCTCTGATGTTCTGCCTTAATCTGCTGACATGTAAAATAGTTAGCCACATACTCTGAAATCTCTCTGCGCATACCACTTCACCAGAAATGCCTCTTCAGATCCTTGTACATTTTCATCATGCCTGGATGCACTGTATATCTTCTACGATGTGCCTCATCAAAAAGTTTCTTCTTTAGTTGAAAATTGTTCGACATAACAATTCTACCCTTCATCCGAAGGCCTCCATCTATCCCTATAGTCAAATCATCCTTGGACTCTTTGGAAATGTCCCCCTTACAGGTTTGAATCTAAGAATCCTCTATCTGAGCTTCGACCACTCTATCTCTCCAAAATGGCTGTACAGATAAAGCTCCTAAAAACACACGGCTCCCGCCAATCTCTGACCTGAAATCAAAGTGATTGAGGATATTAAGACCCCGATGAAGTGAACACCTCAAAGCTGCTAGCCCACGACGACGCTTCCTGCTTAATGTATTTGCTACCACATTCGCCTTTCCCGGATGATACTGAATAGCAAATTCATAATCCTTAATAAATTCTATCCATCGACGCTATCTCTGATTAAGTTCTTTTTGAGAAAAGGGGTATTTTAAACTCTGGTGATCCGTGAATAGCTCAAACTGTACTTCGTACAAGTAATGTCTCCACGCCTTTAGTGCAAATACCACCGCTGCTAGCTCCAAGTCATGCATAGGGTAGTTCTGCTCATGAGTCCTTAACTGCCTTGAAACATAAGCTACAACTCTCTGGGTTTGCAGCAATACACCTCCAAGACCCAATAAGGATGCATCAGTGTAGACAACAAAAGTCTTATCACTGCTAGGAATGCATCAGTGTAGACAACAAAAGTCTTATCACTGCTAGGAATAACCAAAACTGGTGCTGAAGTCAATTTAGTCTTCAAAGTCTCAAATGCCTTCTGGCACTCTATGCTCCAAATAAACTGTACACCCTTCTTAGTAAGATGTGTAAGCGGTGTGGCAATCTTCGAAAAGTCCTGAATAAATTTTTTGTAATAGCCTGTCAGGCCTAAGAAGCTACGAATCGCGGTAACTGTCTTCGGTGACTCCCAATCAAGTATGGCTTCTACCCTAGCCGGATCTACTGCAATACCCTCCCGGTTGATAACGTGACCCAAAAATCTGACATCTGATAACCAGAATTCACACTTACTAAATTTAGCATACAACTGGTGCTCTCTCAATATTTGCAATGCTAACTTCAAATGCTGCTCGTGCTCGGCCTCCGACCTCGAATAGATAAGGATATCATCAATGAAAACTATCACGAACTGGACCAAATAAGGACGAAAAACCTGATTCATCAAATCCATAAATATTGTGGATGCATTGGTCAGCCAGGTTTCATTCAGTACGAGAGGTGGCAAATGCTGCCATGGCTCAGGAGACAGATACAACCGTATTCATCAAGGGCAAGGAAAATGGTAAGTCAGGATAGTCCGAGGACAAAGGAAAGGGTAAGAGACCATTTGAAGGCTCAGGAGGACCCCATCAGCAGGGTAAGGGTCCGCATCAGTAGGGTCCCCATAAGAAGGTCCATCAGCAGGACCTAAGAGCGTAGCAGCAACGTCGATTTCAGGGAGCTTGTTATAATTGTAACAAGATTAGACACAGAGCAGCAGAGTGCTGCAATGCACCCATAGTAGGCCAGCAGGTCAGGACTCAGCAGCATCAGCAAAATCACACTCAGGAACGTGGTTAGGGCCAACAACTGAGGATTGAGGCACCCCCAGTAGTCCCGAGGATTGAGGGACAGGTTCGAGCAATCCAGGAGACCCAACAGAGACAGATGGCACCATTCACTGTAGGTGATGCAGAGCAGCAGACCGGTAGAGTGTATGCAGTTGTTCCTCGTGATCATGGCGCGAGCGGAGCTGTGGTGGAAGGTACGTTCCGTGTGAACTCCTTTCTAGCACGTATTCTTTATGATTCTGGCGCTTTGCATTCTTTTATCTCCTATGATTTTACGGTTAGACTTCAGCTTGTAGCTCAGCCGTTATATTTTCCTTTATCTGTATCCACTCTTTTGGGAGAGATGTCTCTATTAGAGAATGTTTGTAGGAGATGCATCGTCAGCTTGGACGATTCTGAGTTCGCGATTGATTATATCGTGTTGCATATGTCTGAATTCGATGTGATTCTTGGTATGGATTGGCTATCTTCCTACCATGTGAGTATCGACTGTTTTGCGAAAACAGTCACTTTGCGAGCATTTGATGGGTCTGAGTTAGTGGTAGCTACCTCCAGAGGCAACCAGTTTGCGAAGTCATTTTTGGCATACGTAGAGGATGTGATATTGCGGGATCGGGGTGCAGATTTGAGTGAGATGCGAGTAGTCTTAGAGTACCTGAACGTCTTCCAGGACATACCAGGATTACCTCTAGTGAGAGAGGTTGAGTTTTGCATAGAGTTATAGCCAGGCACCGCACCGATTTCTCGAGCTCCCTACCATATGACGCCTGCTGAGATGAGGGAGCTACAGATCCAGATAGATGAGTTGTTATCTCAGGGCTTCATTCGACAGAGTCATTCTCAAGAACGGGCAGAGATGCACTCCATCATCGGCGAGCAAATGAATGACTAGAACAAGCTCCTCCTCTCCTTCATCAACCGTCGACACCCTCAACATCTCATCATCCATCCTATTCTCAGCGGCCACGGGCATGATGATGCTCGTCAACAAAATTAAACCCAACCCCATAAAGAGAACTCCATCAAAATCCAAACTTGGTCGCGAAAACCAAAGGCCCAAGCACCCACAATCAAAATCCAAGCGCCCACAACCAAAACCAAAGGCACACGACCAAAACCAACCCCAATGAGATCCTACTTAAAGGCCCTAGCATACGACATCGGCGGCGTAGCGGTGGTGGAGCTGAGGTTCCCAGCGAGGGTGGAAGAGGAGATGGGAGGCGGCGCGATGGTGACGGTGGGGGCTATGACAGAGGATGGAGTCGACGAGGTCGAGGGGAGACGGAGGCGGCGGAGGTGCCGGTGGTGTTGGAGGTTCCTAGCGAGGTTGGAGAGAGGGTGGAAGAGGAGATGAGTTTGTTGGAAGAGAAGGAGCAGATCTGGAGAAGATGTGGAGAAGAAGAAGAGGGTAGTTTGGGGATTTAATGTCTTGAAAATTGTAAAAGGGGCTGAATCACCTAGATTTTTTTTTTGGGGGGCTAATGAACATTAGAAAAAGTTCAGGGGGCTGAGACACATCAGGTTTGTATTTTTGGGACCTTGAAGCAATTTTTTTTAAATATAATTGTTGCATTCTTTCTTGAAAACGACAATATTATGATATTTGGATCATATTTTGCTATTTTTGAATTTCTGATGCAAAATTTATAATCTGTTATTCTGGGAATTATTCTTATTATTATTTTGTTAGTTATCTAGGAACTCTAGTGGGAAATGTTCTCACTGAGCTCTAGCTCACCCCGTCGTTTTTAAAATTTTCAGATCCGGAGTAGCTTCATTCTAGCCAAACTTTTGGTTATGACGTTTTGCTGAGAGGCGTTATATAGAAAGCCTCCTTTTTGATGTTACATACAGTCAACAGTGTGCTTTGTTTTGTAAAATGCTTATAACGGTGAGCTTGTGGGTTGTAAGCACCGATTATATATGTATATAGTTGCTCTGAACTTCTATCATCAACAGGTTCATGAATATTTTGAGATTAACTATGTGATATGAAGTGTCAGCTTGACTCGTGCATAAGACTTGTCTCGTGCACGGGTCGCTACTGTCGCGTACCCCGTATTTTATGAATTTCCGCTGCAGTTTCGAGGTGTGACATGTTAGCTATAAGAATCCTATTATTACATTCAGTTTAGTTAAGGACCAATGTCCTCACTAAGTTAATCACTGCATCATTCATCATGTCAAATACAAAAAAGCTATTTGGCTCGCGGTTCAACCGCGAGCGCTCAACTTGCAGAGAGGTGAACAGGGGGGCGGGTCCCACTGCGGTTCAACCGCGAGCCAAACAGTAGAGTTCTGTCAAATATTGCCAAAGTCAACACGTATATCAGTTGCAGATTTCATCATCTGACTTGGACATAATTCAAATCATGACAGCTATAGTCCAGCTCCTGTGACGATGCCCATATGGACATTGGATATACATCTGCGAAAAAAAAAGAAATAACCCGCAGCAGTGAACAGATCCGTACGTTACACAAGGACATGGTTTTCATAAGATTGATAAGCTTTATTTTGAGTATATTAAGCAACCGGTTCTCATACAGAATTTGTTTCATCACAGTAATCATAGTCAAACACCTCGACAACTAGTGTTATTTTCCATCTCTTCTCAAAATGTTATAAGAACGAACAAAGATTTTAACGAACAACTTCCATCTTTTCAAAACGCCAAGACTGTTTCATCACAACTATTCATACACAGAAGGGTCCAACTTTCGACCGTTTTATAACCTGGGGGGAAAAAGCAAGATTGATCAGAAAATTTTTGTCTTTCAGATTTGACTGACATTGGTAATACTTACACAAGACAACAATCAGAAGACAATATGCCTACTGAGCAATATTTTTCATTTGGCTCCTAATAATTCCCATACACAAAGTACAGCAAATCTATTAAGCACGCTGTTTTTGAAGGGACAAATTCAAAAAAAAAAAGAATTAAAAAACCCAAGGCTTTGGGGTGACTCAGATAACCCCATGAAACTTTTTAACTTTTCACAACATACCTCCCTAACGGCATTACTATTCAACATCAAATTACCCAGATACCCTCAATGAAAAAAACCCACCAATATTCTGATTAGTTGCAAATAAAATAAATAAATAAATAAATAAAAGAACACTTCGCGAAAAGGCGGTATTTAGTAAAAAAGCAAAAGCCAAATCACCCAAACTTCCCCTTTATTTTAATACTAGAATATGAAAATAAGGATATGTAGGGGATTATTTATTACTGAGGGGTATGTTGGTCAATTAAAGCTCTGTGCTCGGTACATGGGTTTGGAGGTGGGGATTAAAACCAACGCTGTTTACTTGAGGGTTTCATGGGATAAGTGTTGGGAGTTTAGGCAAACAAACAAAATTCTAGGGGATTTCGTGGGAAATGCCCCAAAGGTTTTGGGGGCTTTTGGGAAATTTACCCTTTTTTATATCATCACAACCAGAAGTTACGAATTAAAAAAAAAAAAAAAAAAGGA